GGTGAGTGAGCATTACCACCTGTCAGATCAGTGGCATTAAATTCTCACAGGAGAGCAAACCCTGTTGTGAACTGTACATACAAGGAACCCAGCTTGCACAGTTTTTATGAGAATCTAATGCTAGATGATATGAGGTGCTACAGTTTCAGCCTGAAACCATTTCTCCCGCCTCCAATCCATGAAAAAAGTGTCTTCCACAGAACCAGTCCCTGGTGCCAAAAAGGTTGGGGACTGTTGCCCTAGACCCCTCAGGTCCTGGTAGATTTATTTCCATTGCCAGTTATCAAATTAGTTGCTTTTGGACCTACTACATTTTAAAAGAATGATAGTGGTCAGGTTGTAATGTTTGGATTCTGCTTACAGATGCAAGAAAAGCAAAAAGTATATTTATCCTGCCATTGAGGGCTACTGTCAGCTTTTCAGAGCCACCTCTTTAATGAGTATTCTCATTTATATCCTTAAGCTACTCTTTGGAATTTGAAAGCATTAATAATCATATAATCATCACAGATGCTTATCAATGCAGGTTTATCTCTGTATTTATTGGAGATAGTATCTATTTGCTATAAAATATAGGATAAGCCCCTATTATAAAAACTCTTAACAATCAGAAAGTTCAAATAGTCCCAATTAGTTTTGCAAAGTACATACCGATGATAGTGAAGAGGAGGAAAATCATCAAAAGCCCATAAATTTCTAAGCAATAGAACAAAGTCTTATGTGTATTCAGTACTTCATTCATTCTTTGAAAATTGACAGTTGAGCTATATATCTTTTACAAAATAAATACCAGTAATTAAAATACTCCAGTAAGTGAAACAACCCAAATCTCAAATGATATGGAAAATTCAAATGTATTTTGTTAAAACAGAATACATTATTATTAATGAGGCAGACAAATGCATTTGAAAGCATTTTGTTAAAGGTTAAAATTCTGTTAAATAAAACATAGTCCTGTTTTACTTACATTTTTAATAAATATGAATATGGTGATAATTATGACAATAATGGGTAACATTTGTTGGGCCCTTAGTACATTTCAAGCATGAATTACCTGATTTAATACTAACAACTCTATTAGAAAAATATGTTCTTATTTTACCTGATTTTACAGATCCAGAAATTGAGCCCTATGGGGGTTGAACTCTAGGTCACACAACTTGTAAATGGTAGAATCGAGATTAACTCTGTCTACCAGGTGTCTATTGCCAAAGCCCATTTATACACTTTTAGATACCTAACTATTTCACATGTATGTTTGCATAATATACATTTGTAAACCTTGTTATTATGAAAATTGTCAAGTAGAGAAGTGATGCAATGGACCCTTAAGATTCAATATTTACCAACATTTTGCCACAACTGCTTTGTAGAATTTTTAAAAAAATATTTACTGATATATTTTAAAACAAACCAGTGAAACATCATATTATTTCTTCTAAATACATCCTTCTTATGTATATTCTAAAAATATGGACACTTCCTACATAATCACAGTATCATGATCACACTTAGCAAAATAAGTAGTCATTTTTCAATTTTCCTCAATTTTCTCGAATACGTCATTTTAAAAATTGATTTGATTCAGGATCAAAAGAAACTGCATAATCTGCATTTTGGTTATGTCATAATTTGGTTATAACCAATTATGCATGTGGTTAACATTTGGTTATGTTAAGCTAAAGGAGTCTCCCTACATTGCAATGGCCCTATTAGGTGTTTTGTTTTGTTGAGTCAGACTTGCTCTGTCACCAGGGCTAGAGTGCAGCGGCATGACCACGCTGACTGCAGCCTCAACCTAGTGGGCTCAAGCTGTTATCTTCCTAGCTGCTGAGTAGCTGAGATGACAGGAACCAGAGGAGGCATGCCTCAGTTTTTGTTTTTTGTTTTTTAGGGTTTTTGCCATGTTTCCCAGGCTGGTCTCAAACTTCTGGGCTCAAGCAATACACCCGCCTTGGCATCCCAAAATGCTGGGATTACAGACAGGCATGAGCCGAGGAACATGGCCTAGGTTGTTAAGGAAACTGAATCAGTTGTCCTGGTGTTAGGTTCTGTTCCAGATTATCCTACTGTTTTTAAATAATGTCATCTATCTTCCTCTTGATATCTTTTGTAAAGGTTCATTAAACCTATATGATTGATTACATTCATTTTCTACATTTTGGGCAAGATTTCATAGGTGGTTTATTAAACTTCAATATTGGATTATAACAAAAGGCCAGTAGTGCTTGGTTGTTTCACTTGTAGCTACCTGAAGTTGGATGGGTTAAGAGGTAACAATGGATCCTTTTCCTACAAAGTTTTCAATCAGTATGTTGTTAATGTTTAATATACAATGATGATGATTGCCTGAATCACCTATTTCATTAGGTTTTTAATAGAATCATTATCCAATTCATTCTTCTTTTTCTTTATACTTATTTTATCTATTAATTGGAATTCTTCTCTAAACAGCTTTTCCCATATCAGTTAGGAGTGTGATATACTATTTATCCTCATATTATTCATTCAAGACAGATAAGATAAATGCTATTTATCCTTTCCTATTAATTATCAATTTCCAGAGTAAGTAACTGGTGTCCTAGTTAGCTTTTGGTGACAAATGAGATTTTTTAAATGTTTGCACATTTGAATAATTTGCACATTTTTTTGGTATTATGAATTTGTGGATTTTTTTTTTTTTTTTTGAGATGGATTTTCGCTCTTGTTACCCAGGCTGGAGTGTAACAGCGCAATCTCAGTTCACCGCAACCTCTGCCTCCTGGGTTCAACCAATTCTCCTGCCTCAGCCTCCTGAGTAGCTGGGACTACAGGTGTGCGCCACCATGCCCAGCTAATTTTTCTATTTTTAGTAGAGACGGGGTTTCACCATATTGACCAGGATGGTCTCGATCTCTTGACCTTGTGATCCACCCGCCTCAGCCTCCCAAAGTGCTGGGATTATAGGCATGAGCCACCATACCTGGCCAAATTTGTGAATTTTTATATATTCAGGATGTTCAGTCAGTTTGTTAACGGGAGCCTCTTTAGGTTGGTTCCTTGTTTCTTCTTGATACAACGATTAGTTGCCAATAGCTCCCTTGCTTTCTAGACAGTAAGATGCCCAAGGTTTTTCATGTACATTTCCTCCCCTGGACCTGAGATCAGACATTTCTCAAGTAACACATGTTCCTTTTAGCCAGAAATGGTACTAAGTAAGTATGGTCACTGCTATTAACTTTCTTTGTTTCTAGACGTTTTTAGGGAGAATAAGGTCAGAGAAAGATTTTTTCAATAAGTATATTATTTAACTTGAAGCATGCTATATCTAATCTTGCAGTATTCCCATTTTATTCTAAGGGAATAGCATATTAAGTTACGAACTACATGTATAATTCTTTAAGAAAGATATTTCATCAAGCATTTTAGGTTGACATTCTCAATTTCCATCTATGTTCATAAAGTCAAAAAAACTTTACTATTTTAGGAGGAAGTCAAGAATAAAGCTTTGCTTATGCTACCAATTGAACTAATCTTTTTCCAGATATCAATTAATATCACAACCTCCACAGAATTGGCAACTTTCTAAGATATTAAATATTTCTATAAAAAGAAAAAAACTATATAGATTTGTTTGGATGTAAACCTTAGTTTGCCTTAGAAATTCCTTTCTTATATTAGGATTTAAGGAGACAGAAAACTCATCCTTGAGTTTTTGAAAACATAGTAAGCTGAGGATTTTTTCTTTCTTTCTTTCTTTCTTTTTAACCAAGCAACTTGCCTAAAAGACAGTTGAGGCAAAAGGCTTTGCAATATCCATGTCACTCTGCTTTTATCAATTTTTGTCTTTGTTAAGACCTTAAGTTCATTGTTGTTATCATGAGATTCAGGATCTCTTCCCTTTGGCCTATAATTTTTTAGTTGGCAAGAAGTACACTAGTTAAAAGTGACTGCTACTGAGTTCTCCTAGAACAACAAAGGCTCCAGTTTTCTCAGCCATTTGCCCAAATCTCCATCTCCATAGAGCAAATATTAAAGGAAAAATTTGCCACTTTACAAACTGAAAATTGTAGAAAAAACAAAAAGAAGCTTTTTTCTCTGTGAAAACCTATACATTTTACGTAACCGTTTGACTTAAACATTTTAGAATTATTTCAAATATCATTTAACACTGTGGTTTGTTATTAACCAGGATCTTTATTTCAAGGGACAGTCTACATTTTAAGTAAGTAATAACTAGCTTTTTAAACAAACAACATCATCAAATAAAATATATACACAGTGGGCTAGGTGCTGTGGCTCATGCCTATGATCCCAGCATTTTGGGAGGCCAAGGTGGGTGGATCACAAGGTCAGGAGATTGAGACTATTCTGACTAACATGGTGAAACCCTGTCTCTAATAAAAATATAAAAAAATTAGCCCAGTGTGGTGGCACATGCCTGTAGTTCCAGCTGCTCAGGAGGTTGAGGCAGGAAAATCACTTGAACTCAGGAGGCAGAGGTTGCAGTGATCCGAGACCGCACCACTGCACTTCAGCCTGGGTGACAGAGCAACACTTCATCTCAAAAAAAAAAAAAAAAATATATATATATATATATATATATATATATATATAAACATAAATATATATTTTATATATGTAGAGAGAGACACACACACACACACACACACACACACACACACACACACAAAGCAAAAGGCAAATCTTCCTTTTTAGAAGCAAGTACTATAACCAGTTTCCTCTGGTTCCCTTCATTCAGCGATTCAAATACACTTAACTTGTATTTAAGTTAAAATTGGTTGCTTTTTTTAAATGTATGATTTTTAGAGGAGCAGAATGTGGGAAGTAAACAATACTTTGGATGAAACTCCAAATAGATTTTGTTCTCTAAATCCCTTTATTTGCATTGAAGAATTATTTTTTCTATTTTAAATTTCTGTCTGAAAGGTAACTATGTTTGTGACATTTGGTAAAGATTAAAATATACTTATCAAGAATGCAACAACTAGTTCTTTTTAAAGATTTATTTTTCATTTTGTTGTTTTATTTTACATGATAACAGAAATCTCAACAGTACAATAAAACATAAAGAAAACAAAACACCCCCAAGCCTCATCACCAAATAACTAGTTCTTAACAGAAAAGGTTAAGTCCTATTAGCTGGAAACATAATTTCCTGTTTTTGAAAGATGAGCTATTATTCTATATCATTTATTAGGTCACTGTACATATTCTTATCTGTCTAAATAATTGAAGCTCCTTATAAAAAACAACCCTGTCAACATAAACCTAAATGGAGGTGTTTTACCATTTTACTCTTTCTCCACAGTTTCCATGGAAACATGATGGTTATGACAATGCGGGAAAGGAGAATGATGACTGTTATTCAAAGATAAAAATGATCACAGAACTAAACACTTAGGATTAGTAAGAACTTAAAAAGCATCATAGAATTAATATTTGAGTTTTTTAAGTAGTGAAAAGAAAATTAAATATATATTTGGCATGTAAGGTAAAACCCAGCTAATATTATCTCCCTAAAGTTTTCATTTATGTGGCCTTTGTCTCTGGTTTTAACAATGTGAAGCTAAATACCAGAATAGTGTTGGATTAATGAAGTTCAATATTTGAAAAATAGAAAGTAATTGCAATTAAGTTATCAGTGCTAAGAAATTTGAAAAATAATCTTTTTTCTTTCCTGTAATGTTTTACCTATTGACAATATTAAAGCATAATAAAAAGCTATATCCAGGTAATGACATTTAATTTAAAAATGAAATATAGCAGAATTAACTATCCCAAAGCATCAGCCACTTGCATCAAGGTAATAAAACAGAACCTTTAATTATCTGAGCTAATTAGTATGAAATAATCAGGGAGACCACCTGAGGGCTTTATAGTGACACTTGCTGTATTGAATTACTGTGGTCTGATCCACCTCACATTGACTTGTGAGAAAATACCAGTTTAACACTTAAGTTAAATGCCTAAGAGATGTTTTACTGAAATGAATGTTTAGATGGTTTTGTGATGACAAAGAAATAGATCATATGATTTGTTAAGGTGTTTTTGGCATAATTCCTATATCAATGAAAATGGAAAGAGAGATGTATGCAAAATGGCAAGTCCAGAAAACTCACAGTGAGCTGGTTTAATGCCTCTCCTTTTCATGCTTCCTGGGTTTTTTTCTCTCTTTAGCTCAACTAATATTAGTTTGTTTGAAAGACAACTAGCACCAAAATTAAGGTGTTGCTTTAATTTTGATATATTTATTAACCAAAACTATATCTCCAATCAAAAAGCAGGCATAAAATATCAACCACTATTCTTAGTGACATTGGCCTTAATAATTTTCCCTAAGTAGCAGAATTAGAATTGGCTGAGGATCCAAGTCTCTATCTAAACTTCTTGATCTTCTTTTCATTTTTAATCTGTTAAGTGCAGATAGACTTGATCAATGTGTGCTGGGTTTATTATATTACTGAAAGATTGCAATACACAAGCATGTTTTAAAAAGCCCACTATTCTTATTTACAGCCCTTCAAAATTAACCTATGGCTTTTAAATTTTTTAATTTTTATTTACTTTTAGTGATCATTTATAAGTAATACCTCACATTGCTAAGCCCATTCTTATTGACTTCAAATTTCAGAATCTCGGAATGACAATCAGTTTTTAATTTTAACTAAATATTTTTATTAACTTTGAATTAATTGCATTTACAGATTAATTATCCTAATGGAATCATTTAAACTGAAAACTTATAGTGAGATATTTGCTAAGAACATTTTGTATTAACATATATTAATTGGATATAGTTAGGAAAAAGTGTACTCCTATGATTTTCATGGTTCAAATGAAAACTGAAAAAATGGAAATTGATCCCAATTAGTGGTATGTGTAATGGCTGATTAAATATGCAAGGGAATTCTTTAAGGATCATAGTTGAGTCTTGTCTTTAACATCTTAATTACCCAAAAGATGCATTCAACAAATCTGTAATTCAAAATGTAGGTATTATTCCCTAGGAAGTATTGCAAACATATAAGAAGAAAAAAATGCCAAAATGGAGCAAACTGGAGAGGAAATTGATTAAAATGTAAATTAGAAAAACAAGGCTTACCAGCTTGGACTGTAGTCATCTGAAACCCATATATTTGCTGACAAGGAAATATATTCATTTTGGTTAGATGAAAGAAAGCAGGAGGTTTGGGAATTATCTAAAGAGACTCCAGGATATGTGTTAGTAAATTAGAGGTGAACTTGCTAATGCAGCATTATCCTGCAGCAGAAGTAGAGCCAGTGTTATTGGGGATTAGTGGGCAGATGGGCTATATTAGAAGTAGGTAATAATTATATAAATAAAACTTTCCTAAGTGAAGGATTCTCCAAATATTTTATATTATTAAATCAGTATTTCAAAACCTCTTTGAAGTAAGTTATTATCATAGTGTCATATTGAATAAATCTACTATGATCGTATACTAATTATGATGTAGACATTAATTAAATAGTAGAAAGTGCTATTTATTGTAGCAGTATCTCTAAATTTGTGTTCATCTTAGTCAATAATTTCTTTTGACAATAATAGTAGTAGTCACAATAGTAATAGCAAATGTGGTGGAGATGCTTACTTTGTGCAGGTTTGCTACAATTTTATTAGGAAAACAGTTGTTAGTTTCCATTTTGTAAAGGAGGAAACAGATAACAGGTTTTTCTTTTCAGTTTTTGTCTGGACATTCAGATTTTTGTGTGTGCATATCCTCGTAAAGTCAAGTTATCAGCGCTGGATCTCAGAGTTCTAAACTGAACCTTGCTTCATGAGATAATCTCTAAAGATGCAAAAGAATTGGATCCCTTCCTTTGCACTTGTGAAGCATACATTCCACCCCAGCATGAGAAATGAGCTCATGTTGGACTTCAAACATAGGCTAGATAAAAATAAGTAAACATGTCAACTGAGGACAAGATTATACCAAGTGATTCTACTGCCTGTTATTTCAAAGCACATTTTGATATAATCTGAATTATATCAAGAGAATAGAAATATTTACTCATGACAAATATTGTGTCCTTGTGAAGACTGTAGAAGAACCTTCATCTGGTGTAAGAAAAACAGGTTTAAGTCACGATGCTGCACATGAAACAATCATAAAACTGAGACACTAACATGTTTATTCTGGCTGTTTTCCTTGTTAAACCACACCCCCACATGGTTAGTCCATTTGATAACTTTGAGTAAGTCTTCAAATAGCAGCATGGTCACACTGGATCAGTATCCTTCACTTACACCACTTGAGAGGTGGGAGAGATCTCCAAGTCCAGCTCCTTCATTCTGTAGAAGAGGAAACTCTTAGTTATTCTAGAGATGTGGACCAAGTCATCTTAATACCAGACTTTATGGAGACTTAAGAAATATGGCTTTTAAATGTTACCATATTCATGGATGAAATACAGAACAAGTACAAAGCTTCCTCCTGCTATGACAGGTACTCTGGGATGTTTAATGTGCCTTTTCTGGTCACTAGGGTACCATTTAGAGCAGTGAAGCGGTTGATTTACAATATGGTGCACAGGGGAATGTCTCAGGGCTCCCTTTTACCCACCGGGAGGACACAATGTAGCATTACTTCATTACTCATGTCAGTTCATCTTTGAATATGATTTTGTTTACATAATGCTGACAGAAAAATACAAACACAATGTTACAAATGTTCAAATAGTTCATTATATTTTTCCTAATATCTTTGTGTGACTCAGCTTCTTCATTGTTTTCCAGATAGATACACATTCAAACTTGAACATCTGTAGTATATGGTTTCGAGAAACTAAATTTGAAAATGGCATCTCTTAAGGGTATAATTACTTGACTTAATTGACATGCAGTTTGATAAATATTTGTTCTGTGGAAAGAAATAATTTGTTTGAGAACTTGTTGGTGACTGATAGACATAGTTTTTATGACTTAGCATCCTGTAATTGAGCCAAAGAAATTGTGTTTACAATGGCAAACACAGTGTAATCTAACTCAAGAGGAAAGAAAAATAATAATTTTCTAATGGCTGACAATTACTTCAGGAAGGAAGAAACAACGAGCAAACAGAATTTAAAAATCTATAATAATTAGAGTGATAGTAAAAGTAGTAATTACATTATATTAGTTTTCTGTGAATAATGTGACAAATTACCACAAACTGCGTGGTTTAAAATAACAGAAATTTATTCTTTCACACTTCTGGAGACCAGAATTCCTACAGTATCAGAAGCACACTTCTTCTGGAGTTTCTGGAGGAGAATCCATTTATCTCCTCTTCCAGATTCTGGTGGCTACTAGCAGCCTGTGGTTTTTGGTTGCATCCCAATCTTTACCTCTGTCTTTACCTTTCGTGTGTGTGTGTGTGTGTGTGTGTGTGCGTGCGCGCACGTGCATGCGCGTTTAAGCTCACTCTGTTTCCTTTTCTTAAGCATACTTGGGATAGTATTTAGGGTCTATTTACAGGTTCCAGGAATTAGGACAATTTTGGGGAACCATTTTTCAGCCTGTCACAAAGAAGTTAACTGGTTATGTTAGCACTGTCTCTCATGGCCACTTTTGTCTTTCAGACTGTAGAGAATGCTACTTTGAACACACCCAACATGACCTTCGATGAAGGATGAGACTGGATTCCAGCCATTCTTGCTCGTTCTATGTTTCCCCCCCAATTCTATTTCAATCCTACTTCTAAAATTTTCCTTCCTAGGCTCAGTGTAGAAAGCATATTCTTTAAAGTTTTCAGGAATCTTTTTACACCCTCTAACTGACATTTTGAGGTAGGCATTTCTTTTAATGACTGCTAGGTACTTATTTTATTATATTCCCTATTGTATTATCCTCCACTCATAGAAGAGTGAAGAGTCTCCTGGTCTCTTAGAAAAAAAAAAAAAAAAAAAAAAACAGTAGAAATTGCTGAACTCAACATCCCCCTAAATCAAGTATATCTTCACTCAAAGATCATACTTGCTGTATGTTCTAACCAGACCCACTAAATTGGGTGCCCTGTATTAGAAAATTTCAAAAGCCACTGACCACTTGGCCAGGTGCAGTGGCTCATGCCTATAGTCCCAGCACTTTGGGAGGCTGAGGCGGGTGGATCACGAGGTCAAGAGATTGACACCATCCTGGTCAACATGGTGAAACCCTGTCTCTACTAAAAATACAAAAATTAGCTGGGCATGGTGGCGCGTGCCTGTAGTCCCAGCTAATCGGGAGGCTGAGGCAGAAGAATTGCCTGAACCCAGGAGGTGGAGGTTGTGGTGAGCCGTTATCACGCCATTGCACTCCACCCCGGGTAACAAGAGTGAAACTCCGTCTCAGAAAAAAAAAAGAAAAAGAAAATTCCAAAAGCCACTGACTACTCCTAGCATTACCCATAGAGTAACTGTGTTTGTTTATGTTTTAGGGAAAATTCACAAAGATAATTTCCCACTAGCTTCTCATAACTATTATTTGTAGGGATCTTCATGCTGAGATCTAACCCTTCCATACATAAGTGGTTCAGCTTTGCCAGAACCCCACAGGAAGAGATTATGAAACACCTATTTGTCCTTGAGTTCCTAGCCCAAATTCACCTCCCTGGAATTACTCCATGACCTCCAAATAAACATACCTCACACGCATAAGGAAAATTCCTTAGGTCCTTTTTAAGGATGCAGACCTTGGGGAGTAGCAAAGTGTTTGTGCTAGGATGACCAGTGGAACAGTTACCAACTCTTTCTCCTACACTTCCTAAAACCTGTGTAAAATTTATAACATCATGAAAGAATTATGTGGACTAATGAACATACCTTTTCAGAACAATTAGTTGGGATTGAATACTTGGTCTGTGCCAGGCACTGAGCTAAGCATTTTATTTCTGTTCTTTCATTTAATTCTTTGAGTTAGGGTCCACCTGTTATTATTATCCTCATCTTCTTCTTTTGTTATTGTTTGTTTGTTTGTTTGTTTTTAACTTTTTATTTAGTTTCAAGGGTATATGTGGAGGTTTGTTACGTAGGTAAATTGTGTTGTGGGCATTTGGTGTACAGATTATTTCATCACCCAAGTAATAACTATCGTACCCGATATATAGTTTTATAATCCTCACCCTTGTCCTGCCCTCCACTATCAAACAGGCCCTGGCATCTATTGTTTCCTTCTTGGTGTCCATGTGTACTCAGTGTTTAGCTGCTACTTACAAGTGAGAACATGCAGTATTTGGTTTTATTTTCCTGCCTTAGTTCACTTAGGACAATGGCCTACAGCTCTATCTTTGCTGCTGCAAAGGACATGATCTCATTCTTTTTTATGGCTGCATAATATCCCATAGTATATATGTACCACATTTTCTTTATCCAGTTTATCATTGACAGGCATTTAGGTTGGTTCCATGTCTTTGCTATTGTGAATAGTGCTGCACTGATTGTATGTGTGCATATGTCTTTATGGTAGAACCATTTATATTCCTTTGGGCATATACTCAATAATGGATTTTTGGGTTGAACAGTAGTTCTACTTTAATTTCTTTGAGAAATCACCAAACTGCTTTCCACTAATTAACATTCTCACAGTGTTCCTTTTTCACCACAACCTCACCAGCATCTGTTACTTTTTTGACTTTTTAATAAAAGCCATTCTGACTAGTGTACGATGGTATCTCATTTTTTATTTAGATTTGCATTTCTCTAATAATTAGTGATGTTGAGAATTTTTTCATATACTTGTTGGCTGCATGCATCTCTCTCTCTCTCTTTTTTTTTTTGAGACGGGGTTTCGTTCTTGTTACCCAGGCTGAAGTGCAATGGCGCAATCTCAGCTCACCACAACCTCCGCCTCCTGGGTTCAGGCAATTCTCCTGCCTCAGCCTCCTGAGTAGCTGGGATTACAGGGACCTGCCACCACGCCCAGCTAACTTTTTGTATTTTTAGTAGAGATGGGATTTCACCATGTTGACCAGGCTGGTCTCGATCTCTTGACCTCGTGATCCACCCGCCTCAGCCTCCCAAAGTGCTGGGATTACAGGTGTGAGCCACCGTGCCCGGCCGGCATGTCTCTTTTAAAGAGTGTCTGCTCATGTCCTTTTCTCACTGTTTAATGAGGTTGTTTGTTTCTTGCTTGTTAATTTGTTTAAGTTCCTTGTAGATTTTGGATATTAGCTCTTTGTCAGATGAATAGTTTGCAATATTTTCTTCCATTCTGTAGGTGGTCTGTTTACTCTGTTGATAGTTTCTTTGCAGAAAGAAGCTCTTTAGTTACATCCCATTTGTCAGCTTTTGTTTTTGTTGCAATTTCTTTTGGTGCCTTTATTATGAAATATTTGCCAGTGCCTATATCCAGAATGGTATTTCCTAGGTTATCTTCTAGGGTTTTTAATACTTTTATGATTTGCATTTAAGTATTTAATCCATCTTGAGTTGATTTTTATATACAGTATGAGGAAGGGGTCCAGTTTCAATCTTCTGCATGTAGCTAGCCAGTTATTCCAGCACTACTTATTAAATAGACAGTTATTTATCCATTGATTGTTTTCATTCACTTTGTCGAAGATCATATGGTTGTAGGTGTGCAGATTTATTTCTGGGCTCTATAGTCCATTCTGTTGGTTTATGTGTCTGTTTTTGTACTAGCACCATGCTGTTTTGGTTACCGTATCCTGTAATATAGTTTGAAGTCAAGTAATGTGATGCTTCTAAGTTTGTTCTTTTTGCTTAGGATTGATGTGGCTATTGGGCTTTTATTTATTTATTTTTTTCTTGGTTCCGTATAAATTTTAGAATAGCTTTTTTTTCTAATGTTATGAAAATATCATTGATAGTTTGATAGTAATAATACCGAATCTGTAAATTACTTTGAGCAGTATTGCCATTTTAATATTAATTCTGCCTATTTATGATCCTGAAATGTTTTTTCATTTGTTTGTGTCATCTCCAATTTCTTTCAGCAGTGTTGTGTAATTCACTTTGTAGAGATCTTTCACCTCCCTGACTAGCTGTAATCCTAGGTATTTTATTTTCTGTGTGGGTGGCTATTGTGAATGGGATTGCATTCTTAATTTGGCACTCAGTTTGTATGTTGTTGTTATAGAAATGCAAGTGATATATGTGCATTGATTTTGTGTCCTGAAACTTTGCTGAAGTTGTTTTCAGATTTAGGAATTTTCAAGTAGAGAATATGAATCTTTATAGATATAAAATCATATTGTCTGCAAACAGAGATAGTTTGACTTCCTTCTTCCTATTTGGATGCCTTTTATTTTTTTTCTCTTGCTGGATTGCTCTGGTTATGAGGTCCACTACTATGTTGAACATGAGTGGTGAGTA